TCTGTTATACTCAGATTATAATTCAATTATGCTCAGATTATAATTCAGTTACACTCAGATTATCATTCTCTTATACTCAGATTATAATTCTGTCATACTCAGATTATAATTCAGTTATACTCAGATTAGAATTCTATTATACTCAGATTATAAGTCTGTTATACTCAGATTATAATTCTGTTATACTCAGATTATGATTCTTTTATACTCAGATTATAATTCTGTTATACTCAGATTATAATTCAATTATACTCAGATTATAATTCAATTTTACTCAGATTATAATTCTGTTATACTCAGATTATAATTCTGTTATATTCAGACCATATTTCAGTTATACTCAGATTATAATTCCGTTATACTTAGAATATATTTCTGTTATACTCAGATCATGATTCTGTTACACTCGGATTGCAATGCAATTATACTCAGATTATAATTCAATTATACTCAGATTATAATTCTGTTATACTCAGATTATAATTCAATTATGCTCAGATTATAATTCAGTTACACTCAGATTATAATTCAATTACACTCAGATTATAATTCAATTATGCTCAGATTATAATTCAGTCATACTCGGATAATAATTCAATTATACTCAGATTATAATTCTGTTATACTCAGATTATAATGCAATTATATTCAGATTATAATTCTGTTATACTCAGATTATAATTCAGTTATACTCAGATTATAATTCAATTATGCTCAGATTATAATTCAGTTACACTCAGATTATCATTCTGTTATACTCAGATTATAGTTCAGTCATACTCAGATAATAATTCTGTTATACTCAGATTATGATTCTCTTATACTCAGATTATAATTCTGTCCTACTCAGATTATAATTCAATTATACTCAGATTATAATTCTGTTATACTCCGATTATAATTCAATTATACTCAGATTATAATTCTGTTATACTTTGAATATAATTCTGTTATGCTCAGGCTATATTTCAGTTATACTCAGATTATAAATTTGTTATACTCAGATTATAATTCTGTTATACTCAGATTATAATTCTCATATACTCAGATTAAAATTCTGTTATACTCAGATCATGATTCTGTTATACTCAGATTATAATTCTGTTATACTCAGATTATAGTTCTGTTATACTCAGATCATGATTCTGTTGTACTCAGATTATAATTCTGTTATACTCGGATTATAATTCTGTTATACTCAGATCATGATTCTGTTATACTCAGATTATAATTCAATTATACTCAGATTATAATTCAATTATACTCAGATTATAATTCTGTTATACTCAGATTATGATTCTGTTATACTTAGATTAAAAATCTGTTATAATCAGATTATAAATTTGCTATACTCAGATTATAATTCTGTTATACTCCGATTATAATTCAATTATACTCAGATTATAATTCTGTTATACTTTGAATATAATTCTGTTATGCTCAGGCTATATTTCAGTTATACTCAGATTATAAATTTGTTATACTCAGATTATAATTCTGTTATACTCAGATTATAATTCAGTTATACTCAGATTAGAATTCTATTGTACTCAGGTTATAATTCTGTTATACTCAGATTATAATGCAATTATATTCAGACTATAATTCTGTTATACTCAGATTAAAATTCTGTTATACTCAGATTATGATTCGTTTACACTCAGATTATAATTCTGTTATACTTAGAATATAATTCTGTTATACTCAGATTATGATTCTGTTATACTCAGATTATAATTCAGTTATACTCAGATAATAATTCAGTTTTACTCAAATTATAATTCCGTTATATTTAGGTTGTAATTCTGTTATACTCAGATTATGATTCTGTTATACTTAGATTATAATTCTGTAAATTTTGATTATAATTCTGTTTTAATCAGATTAGAAATTGTATACTTAGATAATAATTCATTTATACTCAGCTTACAATTCAGTTATACTCAGATTATCTGTTATATTTAGATTATAATTCTGTTATACTCAGATTATAATTCTGTTATACTCAGATTATAATTCTGTTGTACTCAGACTATTATTCTGTTATACTCAGATTATAATTCTGTTATATTCAGATTATAATTTTGTCATACTCAGATTATAATTCTTTTATACTCAATTATACTCAGATTATAAATCTGTTTTAATAATTCAGTTATACTCAGATCATATTTCAGTTATACTCAGGTAATAATTCAGTTATACTCAATTTATAATTCAGTTATACTCAGATTATGATTCTGTTATACTTAGATTAAAAATCTGTTATAATCAGATTATAAATTTGCTATACTCAGATTATAATTCTGTTATACTCCGATTATAATTCAATTATACTCAGATTATAATTCTGTTATACTTTGAATATAATTCTGTTATGCTCAGGCTATATTTCAGTTATACTCAGATTATAAATTTGTTATACTCAGATTATAATTCTGTTATACTCAGATTATAATTCAGTTATACTCAGATTAGAATTCTATTGTACTCAGGTTATAATTCTGTTATACTCAGATTATAATGCAATTATATTCAGACTATAATTCTGTTATACTCAGATTATAATTCTGTTATACTCAGATTATGATTCGTTTACACTCAGATTATAATTCTGTTATACTCAGATTATGATTCTGTTATACTCAGATTATAATTCAGTTATACTCAGATAATAAATCAGTTATACTAAGATTATAATTCTGTTATATTTAGGTTGTAATTCTGTTATATATACTCAGACTGTTATTCTGTTATACTCAGATTATAACTCTGTTATACTCAGATTATAAATCTGTTATACTCAATTATACTCAGATTATAATTCTGTTATACTTAGAATATAATTCTGTTATACTCAGATTATGATTCTGTTATACTCAGATTATAATTCAGTTATACTCAGATAATAATTCAGTTTTACTCAAATTATAATTCCGTTATATTTAGGTTGTAATTCTGTTATACTCAGATTATGATTCTGTTATACTTAGATTATAATTCTGTAAATTTTGATTATAATTCTGTTTTAATCAGATTAGAAATTGTATACTTAGATAATAATTCATTTATACTCAGCTTACAATTCAGTTATACTCAGATTATCTGTTATATTTAGATTATAATTCTGTTATACTCAGATTATAATTCTGTTATACTCAGATTATAATTCTGTTGTACTCAGACTATTATTCTGTTATACTCAAATTATAATTCTGTTATGCTCATATTCAGATTATAATTCTGCTATACTCAGATTATGATTCTGTTATACTCAGATTATAATTCTGTTATATTCAGATTATAATTTTGTCATACTCAGATTATAATTCTTTTATACTCAATTATACTCAGATTATAAATCTGTTTTAATAATTCAGTTATACTCAGATCATATTTCAGTTATACTCAGGTAATAATTCAGTTATACTCAATTTATAATTCAGTTATACTCAGATTATAATTCAGTTATGCTCATACTCAGATTATAATTCTGTTATACTCAATTGTACTCAGATTATAATTCTGTTATACTCAGATTATAATTCTGTTCTATTCAGATTATGATTCTGTTGTACCCAGATTATAATTCTGTAATACTTATATTATAATTCTGTTATGCCTAGATTATATATCTGTTATACTCAGATTATAATTCTGTTCTATTCAGATTATGATTCTGTTATACTTAAATTACGATTCTGTTATACTTAGATTGTAATTCTGTTATACTCAGGTAATAATTCAGTTATACTCAGTTTACAATTCAGTTATATTCAGATTATAATTCTGTTATATTTAGATTATAAATCTGTTCTACCCAGATTATGATTCTGTAATACTTAGATTATAATTCTGTTATACTCAATTTATAATTCTGTTATGCTCATACTCAGATTATAATTCTGTTATACTCAGATTATGATTCTGTTATACTCAGATTATAATTCTGTTATACTCAGATTATAATTCTGTTGTACTCAGACTATTATTCTGTTACACTCAGATTATAAATCTGTTCTACCCAGATTATGATTCTGTAATACTCAGATTATAATTCTGTTATGCTCAATTATACTAAGATTATAATTCTGTTAAACTTAGATTATAATTCTGTTATACTCAAATTATGATTCTGTTATGCACACACTCAGATTATAATTCTGTTATACTCAGATTATGATTCTGTTATACTCAGATTATAATTCTGTTATACTCAGATTATAATTCTGTTATGCTCAATTATACTAAGATTATAATTCTGTTAAACTTAGATTATAATTCTGTTATACTCAAATTATGATTCTGTTATGCACACACTCAGATTATAATTCTGTTATACTCAGATTATGATTCTGTTATACTCAGATTATAATTCAGTTATGCTCATACTCAGATTATAATTCTGTTATACTCAATTGTACTCAGATTATAATTCTGTTACAATCAGATTATACTCAGATTATAATTCTGTTATACTCAGATTATAATTCTGTTCTATTCAGATTATGATTCTGTTATACCTAGATTATAATTCTGTAATACTTAGATTATAATTCTGTTATGCTTAGATTATATATCTGTTATACTCAGATTATAATTCTGTTATACCCAATTGTACTCAGATTATAATTCTGTTATACTCAGATCATAAATCTGTTATACTCAGATTATCAATCTGTTATACTTAGATTATAATTCTGTTATACTCAGGTTATAATTCTGTTATATATAGATTATAATTCTATTATACTCAGATTATGATTCTGTTATACTCAGATTATGATTCTGTTACACTCAGGTTATAAATCTGTTATACTCAGATTATCAATCTGTTATACTTAGATTATAATTCTGTTATACTCAGATTATAATTCTGTTATATTTAGATTATAATTCTTTTATACTCAGGTTATGATTCTGTTATACTCAGATTATAATTCTGTTCTACTCAGATATATCCTTTGGTGGCTATATCTGCTGGATTTTGATCACTTGGTATGTATTTTAATTCGAAGTTAGATTTCCTTATTTCTTCGATACGATTTTGTATAAATCTGGGAAGCAGCTTTGTATAATTCTGTATCCAGTAAAGAACACATTTTGAATCCGTCCACAAAGTAACTTGATTATTTTCAAGATTTAATTGTTTCAATACGAACTGAGCTGCTCTTACTCCAATTAGTACAGATAATAATTCAAGTCTAGGAATTGATATACCTTTAATTGGAGCAATTCGAGATTTAACATAAATCAAAAATGAATTCGAATATGTGTTTTGATATCCATGATTGAGAATATAAATAGCTGCAGAATAGGCAACTTTCGAAGCGTCAGTAAATATATGGAATTCTGTTAATTGTGAAGTTTCCATTATAAATCTTGGCAGCTCTATTATATTTGTTGGCCATTCTTTGATGAGATTTATCCACTGTTGTTCGTCCTGTTTGTTTAAAGATTGATCCCATGGAATGTTTTCTTTCCATAAGTGTTGTATGAATAATTTAAGTTTGATCATTATAGGAACGAGAAGACCCAATGGATCGTATTGGGAGGCTATGAATTGTAGGATGGTCCTCTTTGTTAAACTTTTTCCTATCCATGCTTTCAGTGTCACACGGATAATATCTCGTTCATGGTTCCATTTAAGACCAAGAAAATTTTCCTGGTTTGTTTGGCTTAGGTCTCATTCAGGTATTCTTTCATTAAATTCTTCGTCATTTGAATGAAATTCTGTTATGTTCATCGATGCTTCACAAAAAATTTCTTTCGTTCTTTCATATTTATATAAGGCCTCTTCTGTTCCTTTAGCTGATATAATAACGTTGTCTACGTATAAGTTCTTTCTTATCTCTCATGCCAATTCACTACCATGATTTTCTAGGTGGTAATTTAATGTAGCCGCTAATAAGAAGGGTGAGGATATTATTCCAAAAGGAACTCTCTTTTCTATTTGTATAATTATTGTGACAGCATTAACTATTTCAGTTATTCTTAAACGGAAATCCAAATTACTTCAATCCTTGTTCCGTACTACTCTTAAATAAAGTTCAAATCAAGTTACTTTCATTACTCTCCCTCTCACCACACACTCAATTCCTAGCTAAGAAAGAAATTCCACCCATTAAACTCCATACCTTTAGATACACGCCTCAAAGTCACTCTCTCAAAATTCCACATTAAATGAGTTCCTCTTCCCCGTTAGGAGTGTCGCGAATTATAATTTCGCAAAAACTCTTAGACCAAAACAATAACTTTAATATAAAGAAAAGCTAATAAAAGTAATTAATTATTTTCAAATTGCAACAATTTTACGGTATAAATGAATAATAATTGAAAGAACGATTGAAATATCTTATTTTCTTTTTTCAGGATTCCTTCTGTTCCATTCATTTGGTGGTGGTACCGGTTCAGGTTTTTCATCTCTGTTAATGGAACACTTAACAATTGATTATGGTAAAAAAAGCAAGCTAGAATTTTCGATCTATCCGGCACCGCATATTTCGACATCTGTAGTGGAGCCATATAATTCTGTCCTTATGACTCATGCTACCCTTGAGCATGCTGATTGTTCATTCATTATGGACAATGAGGCAATTTATGACTTATATCATCATAAGTTGAATGTTGATCGACCATCCTATCCAAATCTAAATCGTCTCATTGCTCAAGTTTGCTCATCTATAATTTTTAAGCTTAGGCATTTTGGTAGTTTATGACACAATATGACACTTATGACAAAATCAGTTATTATAAAAATATGGAATGTAAAAAAAAACAAACAAAAATTATGATCTGTTTTATGAGAAATATTATGCTAAGGATGAAAATGATCAGTTGTTTACTTTATTTTATTAATAGATATGAACACGCCTAAATGTATAAAAATTTTTCTGAAATTTTAACATTATTTATTAATAAAAAACTAAAACATTGAAACATGATTGAAATCAATAGCTATTTTGATCATTCAACTTCAAATCAGTGTTTTTTTTTTCTTTCAGGTTGTTTCGTCGACTACCGCTTCGCTGCGCTTTGAAGGTGCGCTAAACGTAGATCTGATTGAATTTCAGACAAATTTGGTGCCATATCCACGTATTCATTTCCCATTGGTGTCATATGCTCCGATAGTTTCCGTCAAGAAAGCTTGTTATGAAACTCTTTCGGTGATGGATATTACCAGAGATTGTTTTGAAACTTCCAATCAAATGGTGAAAGTGAGCTACTATAAATTATAATCCTTTTTGTTTCAATTTTGTACTATTGTTTTTCTTAATTTTTACATACAAATAATTTTCTTTTTTTCGCATCATTTCATTTCGAACTATTTCAAGCATTTCAGCATAAATAATCAATCGATTTATTTTAATTTAATTTGCTGTATTTAATTTATCATTTTGTTTTATTTCTTGTCATATAAAAGTAAGTTATTTGTCAGTGTGATCCGACAAAGGGTAAATATATGTCAATTTGCCTTTTATACCGTGGTAATGTCACACCAAACGATGTCAATGAAGCCATTAGTGCTGTCCGTCATCGCAGACAGATTAATTTTGTAGAGTGGTGTCCAACTGGATTCAAGGTTCAAATTGCTATTTTAAAAATAATTCATGAAGTCATCAAAGCTATTATGAATAATTTGATTATTGAAGTGAAGACATCTTTTCATGTTGTAAAGATTTTTTTTGTTCCTTAGAAAAATTTTAAGCAAAATTAAACTTTTTAGATTGGAGTTAACCATGAGCCACCAACAGCTGTACCAGATGATGATGCTGCATCTGTACCACGTGCTCTCTGCATGTTAGCCAATACAACAGCTATTGCTGAAGCGTGGGCTCGTTTAGATGCCAAATTCGATCTGATGTATTCAAAACGAGCTTTTATACATTGGTTTATTGGTGAGGGTATGGAGGAAGATGAATTTATTGACGCACGTGAAGACATGGACCTTCTTGAGAGGGACTATAAGGAAGTGTGTATCCTAATTCTTTTTTGTAAAAAGATGATTAAGATTAGTGAGTGATTTATTTATAAATGCTATTTTAGCTTGCAGCGAATGAATTTGATGCTGATTCGAACGATGGCAACGATTTCTGAAAGGAATGATGGAAATGAGAGAAGCTGTGAGCAGCAATTAAATTTTCATAATTTTTCTTACTATTTAAAGTAACCACGCATATAATATGTATTCTTATGTATTTTATTTGTTTTTCTAATAAAATAATGTTTTTTTTCTTATATTACGAAAAAGAAGTAGAATTAAGAAATTTGAAAGTTAATATATCAAATAGTTATCATTTGATGGAAACACACACGAGTTATCACATGCACAACCATATTAATAAGTTATGAAATGATTTATTAATAATGAAGATGAAAAAGATTCAAACTTTTGCTTAAAACCTTTAAAAAGAGTTAGATTTAATTTCCAACAAAAAAAAAAAAAAAAAGCGAAATCGAATGAAACAATTAAAAAATACTCATACAATATACAATGTCTAAAAATAACAAATAACCTATTGCTGCCTAGTTATCTTGCATGTGGTTGCCAACGTTCATAACTTCCACACGGATTCTACCTATGAACATCTAGTGGGTCCACACCAATATTCAAACATAGCATAAAGGCCATCGATGCTGTTCTCGTACGTTCTTTTGAATATTTCCTCGTGTAATACCTCTCAAAGATGAATAGCTGAAAATTTATGGATTCCATTTTTCCTAAATCGTCCTACTCCAATGAATGAATCAATTTATGATGATTATAAACAAGTAAAAAAGCTGAAATTTTCGAAAAAATATATAAAAGATATGCCATAAATCTCTATCAGTAATTTCCTCCTTTTCTCCACATATCGTTATTTCTTGAAACTATGTTGGCAGCGGATGGATCGCTGCTTTAAAATAATATTTAATACAAATTTTTAAATAATATTCCACTGAATAAGAAACTTTGTGTGATTCTGCCTCACTTACTACCAAATATACATATAAATCATAATTTTCTAATATATGTTTTTGCACATATATGATAACTTCTAGTACAAATCACATTACTAATAAGAAGAATAAAGATTCGCTTTTATTTACCACAAAATGATTTTTTTTTTTTATGATCAAGGAGTAATGTAAATGGATAAATTCAGATCACGAAATATAAATTATGCTTACCAAACTTTTATGCTATTTTAGGCACTCAATCAAACCAGGTTAATTTTCGTTCATTGTATGATTTTTTCTCATTCTCATCTAACTCAAACATATACTCTGCTAAGGAAAAAAGGAAGTAAAATAAAAAATTTGACGTTAAACTTACGGCATCACTTATTCATGAATAAACTGCCCGGTTCTCCTTTCGCGAATGATTGAATTGCAGGAATATAGTTTTCTACAGCAGGTAAGGATCTGGAATAATAACTGCGGAAAATTTAGTCTAGTTTCAGAAACTAACCATATTTTTTCAAAATCAAACATTTGATGATAGTAATGCAAAGCAGGTTGCGAGTACATTTTGAGGATGGAAAATTTAATAATTTTTTTGGAAGGGATTATGCATTTTAATCAAGAACCAGAAAAGTTTCAACTTCAGTTCTTCTCTATAAAGAATTGTACTATTGGTTTTGCTAATAGAGGAATTATTATATTCCATTCAGTGCTGTAATGTGATCCTTTATCCTTAGTGATCACATTACTTTCCATTATTGCCTTAGAACAAAGATATAAAATCAAACGTTTTCAACAACTTTCAACGATTGCGCATTGGAAGATCAAAATCATTTGCTTTAGAGGTAGAAATTTGCTTTAAATGCTTTAAAAGGTCTATTTATCAATTGTAAGGCATTCTCAATTTTGACGTGGAAACGTGAAATGCTTTTATCTTAGTTTATCTTAGTGCTTTTATCTATTGTAACAGTATTGTAAAAGAGATTGATCTCTTTCCTGCTTCACAATTCGAACGACAAATAATAACCAAAGAATAAAACAAAGTTGATCAGTCGAAGAATCAAATCCATCCAATATTTGATTTTATTTCTTTGCTATAAGATAAAACAATAAAAGAGAATTATTTGGCTATAGAGGGAAATGATGACGTAGATATTGGGAATTCTGAAGAAAACGAAAGGACGAAAGATGTCGAAAATATTGAACTGATCCCGACGGCCCTTCAACAGCAATTCACGTACGTAGGAAGGTGTGGTATAATTTATCATTATAAAATTGTTTGCTAATAGAAATGATTTCAGATTTTCTTTTTAGAATTTTTCTTCTTTTTAGATATTATTACTTTAGGAATGAATTTGTTTCATTGGTTTAGTTGTAAATGTTAAAATTCGCTTTTCAGAAAGCACTACAAAAACAAGAAGCTTTTCTTTTTATTTGAGATCGATATGTACACACTTTTCGAAGCACTGAAGCTAGTTGCACATAATCTATAAATTATTCCAATCATTTATTTCACAAATTTTATAATAAACAAAAAAATCTTCCATAAAATTGACAATTTTTTTTTTCTTTTTCAATAAAGAAAAAAACTTCAATGTTATATCACTTTCAATCATTGCTCATGTTGTTATCAAATTTTTTTTTCCTTTCATAATATACAAATCTTTATTAATCATCGCTACTTTTTCTCTACTCTTTAACAAAATATTAGCAATTATATAATTTTTACATCGTTTTCAGTTTCTCAAAATACATTGCTCTTTTCTTCCTATACTTCATATTCCCTAAAAATTCTTCAATCATACTTTAATAATACTTTTAGCATCAGAGTAGAGCAATTAAGCAAGCTACGAAATTTAGAAAAAATTAGACATGAAGGAACAACAGTTCAGAATTTCGGTACGATCTAATTCAGTTATAATCACATGTCACACGTTGCATCTCTATGAAACATACAATCTCACTGAACTATTTTTGAATTTAACTTATAAAAAATTAATTATGACAGCAATTTAAATGTTTCACATCATTTAGGATGCGGAGCCAAAAAATAAGCTCATCGGAAAGTTAAGGGTTAAGAAATTTTTTTTTTTTAGCTATGTTAAATAAAAATTGATACGATCTGAAATCAAACAAAAAGCTAAAATTCATTCTCCCATCAAAAATTTGAAATTCATATATGACACCAATATTTCAATACAAAAATTGAAAATTTGTTTAAAATTCAAAATATGACAAAATAATTTGAAGTAAATACAAATATTACACATTCGCATTACTATTAATACAAATACAAAAAATTATTAACATTTCGGAATATTTTATTAATAATTCATAGAATACTATTATCTCATTATGTAAATTATAATTTACATTAAAATTCCACTTTATTTTTCTTCTTTTTTTTAATTTTGTCTCTGAAATTAACACATGTTTCAAGAGACAAGTCGACGTGTAACAATTACAATGATGCAATATACATTTTTAGCTTGCCTTAGTGAATATGCAAATTTTTTCAGGAGAGTTCTTATCCTAATATTTATTAACTGGAATGAGTTCACTCAGTCATTATTGTAGTGTATCATTCTGGGAATTGGTTTGGTCTTCCTGCTTCAGTTGCTTTTGTGGTATTATTCAATTGGGAAATGTTATCATTTCAATTTAATACTAATTCATTAATATACTATATTACATCTTATATAATTATATTTAAATTATTTTCATTTAATACTATTTTACTTGTTCCTAACTTTAATTAATTGATGCTTTAGCTAATTAAAATTACATTAAGTGAGCTAAAATATTGAAATTTTCAATATTTTATTTGTGCGAATTACTATTTCAGAATTAAATCAATTTAGAAGATTATTTGAACATTGGAAATATAATAGTCTTGTTAAAATTTTATTTAGCAAAATTGTTGCTTTAAACAGTATCTAATAATGTTTGATAACTGTTATTACAATTATACGATCAATTTAATGATTATATGAGAAAAGAAAATTGATTAATTCATTTAATTAATTTGCTTTTCAAATTATTGCTTATTTGCTAATAAATTAATTAGACAAATAATAATAAATTTAGCATCTTCATTAAAAATTATTAATGCTTTGTTTTTCAGCAAGAACTTGCAATTATATGATTAAATGGATACGAAAAGGATGGTATGAACTTTTTTTTGTTTTTTATTCAAATTTAATTCATTTGTTCAGCTGCTTGAAAGGTAGATAATTAAATCAATTTTAAGTAAATATATAACTTAAAAATAAACTTAAATTATAACTTAGAAATATAACTCAAATATGGTATAACTTTAAAAATAATAATAATAATTAATATAACATAAAAAAAATAATAATAATAAATAAATAAATCTTTATAATGATTGATTCTAAACATTTTCTATTCAATGTTTATTATATTCAATATCTAAAGTTGTTAATTAGAATTTTTAAATTCTTAAAATGTTTTGTCAAAAAATAAAATAAAACAAAAAAAATTATCTGAGCTAATAGCTCTTATTTCATATCAATAGCAAATAAATAAGTTGTCACAAATTTGCATAGTCTTTGCTTATATGTACTAAATTTGCATATTTCATCTTTTCATATTTCTCACTTATATGCATTAAAATTTACATTTTTTTTTTCTTGCAAAATGAAACAATTTAATAACTGTATTAAATAAATGAAGTAAAAATAGTTGAAATTTAAATGAATTATAGCGTGAAGTTATTTCGTTGCACATTGGACAAGCTGGAGTACAAATTGGTAGTGCTTGTTGGGAGCTATTTTGCTTGGAGCATGGTATCGATCCGAGCGGTCGCCTGAATTTGCAATCGGATCAATTGGGGAAACGTGACATCTCATCGTTGACAACTTTTTTCTCCGAAGCTGCTGATGGGCACTACGTGCCTCGTACTTTATTGGTTGACTTAGAGCCAACGGTTGTCGGTAATTGAAAGTTTAGAATTTTAATTTTAATAAAATTAAATTTTTTTCTCATAAATTTTTATTTTATTTTTCAATTATTTAAATAAGAATGAATATATTAATTAAGTATATTGATTTAGCAGATATAATGATAAATAGATTCTTAAATTTGTTAATATTATTAGATGTGGTTCGTACGGGAAAATATAAGGATTTATT